GGCCATGTGGGGAGTGGTGGGAGCAGTAAGGAAGCAGGAACAGACCCTCAGAGCTCGCCCTGCCAACGTGATTCACTGTTAATTTGAGAAATTCCTCTCGTTCCAGGGCTGGCTTCCCCAAACACAGCTCGGGCCAGTCGCCTCAGTCCCACCTACATCCTCTCAGGGATGATTTCACCCTGCTCTCCCAGCAAAGCCACTTGTTGGCACATCCCTGGGCAGGAGCGGGGCCTCTGGATGGAAGGGAAGTGCCCGCAGCTCCTCCAAGCCCTTCCCAAAGCTGACTCTGGGTTCAGCGCTGATTCCTGGCTTTTCCAGCAGGAGAAAGGATGACCCAGATGCCTTTGACCTGAGCCACCCTCCTGCAGGAACCGGGTGCAAGGAGGCAGCGCTCGGTGCTGCCGACGGGCTTCCAAACGGAGGCAAATTGCCTTTTTTTCGCCTTTTTTTCCCATTGAGCGGTTGCGCCTTCGCCTGCAGGGCCTGCAGCAGGATGACCAGCTGCCAGGGCGCACTGGCAGGGCCTCGGCACGGTCCGCGCTGGCACGAAGCCCACCCGACCCCCTGCCAAAGGCAGCGGCGGCTCCTCTAACAAGCGCTCCAGGCGGGGGGTGTGAATTCTCTCGGTGTTCATTGAAACAACATTAAGTGTGATGGACTCCCGGGCTATTAGAGTGGATGTAACGCGTAATTGAGGCCGGTTTATTCTTCCCGTCGAGTGTCCCCCCTCCGCCCGCTGGCGGATCGGGGCGGAACACATGGTGCGGGCTTTGTGCTCCATTCACCGCCCGCCTGCCATCAAACCGAGCCCGATGAATGTCAATGAAGGACAGGGGACAATGGGCCGCAGTGAATGGGAGCCTTGTCGTGGGGCCCCGAGCCACAATTGAGCACCACGGGCTGGCGCCTGCCCGGGCAGGCTCTGAATTGCCCCCCATTAGCGCGGGGAGGGGGGGGACGATTACGGGGAGGGGGCAAGGTCGGCGCTCTCCAAGCCCTTATTGCTGCCATTTCTTTGCAGACAGAAATGAGCAGGTTTTGGAGAGCCCGGCTCCAGCTGGGCACGGGGAGGGCGGGCAGGAGCTGGAGCGGGGACGGGCAGATGCTCGCACAGCCCGGGCTGGACTCAAAGCACCGGTCGGATGCTCCGCGAGGCACGTGCAGGGTTTTTCACCACAGAAATGCCCACATTTCCCCCCCAGGGCCGCATTCCTGGTGCCTCAGAGCCCCGAATCGCGGCGTGAAACGGGGGCACATCACCTGGCAGCGATCGAGGGAAAGAGGAAAGAGGCTGATCCCGGAGCCGGGCTCCTGGCAGCTGCTCCCTGTGTTATCTGTGCATCTCCCAACAAACACCCAAATGTGTGGGAGCATCTGCACAGAAAGGATGAATAATAATTCGAGAGGGGAAAAGGAGTGGGCGAGAGATTGCAGGGAAGAAGGAAGCTTTGGCGTGTTCCGAGGGGGGGGAAGAACAGGATCAGCAGGGAGCGAAGTGACACCGCGAAGCTCGGGAGGAAACGAAGGCTCTTTTGCGAGGGGAATGTGGAGGGAAAGCTGCTGCCTGCGAAAACTCTGCAGGGGAGAGGGAAAAGCCTCGAAGAAAGCGTGCTGGGAAGGAGATAAGATTAAATTCCTGCAGCCCATTGAGGAAGGAGGCGACGGGGAAGGAGCTGCTCTCCCACGTGCAGGGAAGGCATGACTGGGATGATGAGATGCCATTCATTTTTTCCCCCCTCTTCCTGCACAGGCAGCAGTGGGAGCATCCACGTGCTCAGCCCCGATCCCGCGGGTTTAGCCCACACTACCTGAGTGTTTGTTGGGGGGGTCTGTCCCCCCCAGGAGCACCGCGGGACCCCCCCACACCTCCCCACTTCACCTGGGGGGCGGGTGACCTGCAGAGCTCCCCTCCCAGCCTGACTGTTGTGTGGTTCTGGGATTCAGGGGTTTTGTTCACAGCCCCTGAAGGGCCGCGGAGCACAGACACTGCTCGGGGGGTCCGGGTCGGTCCCCTCCCCACCGCGGCGCCGACAAAAGAGCCCGGAGGGGCTCGGGGCTCGTTTGCTGAGCGGGAGGGGAAGGCTCGTGTCTTTTCTGGCTTTCTGTCCGCGTTAATTGGTGACTGACGGGGCAAATCGCGGCTCAGGGTAATCACATTTACCGCCGAGAGCCCGGCGGGGCTGGGGCTGAGCCGGGGGGGGCTGCAGCGTTTGGCTTTGGGGACAGAGCCAGGCTGGCACGGTGACATTGCCACCGCAGTGCCCGGGCTGGGGCACCCCCTGTTTTCATTCCCTGCGCTCTCAGTATCACTTACTTTTCATTTTTTACCCCCAACCCCGTTTTACACTTCGCAGCAAAGCCCGACCCGACCCGACCCTGCCCGTTGCCAGGCTTGCAAACCCCTTAAAAATACACCTTTGCATCCACACAGCCAAACATACGTGTGTGCACGTAATGGCTGGGTTTGGGGTGGCTCAGCAGACTGATCTGGCTCCCTGAAGAGCCACAAGGTCACTGGCTGTGATGCAGGGAAGATGCCAATGTGAGGCTGAACAAGGAGGGGGACAAGTCTGGTCCCCCTTTTGGAGGTCCCCCAAAAGCTGGAGTGGGAGCCTGTGCTGCCTCCAGAGCCTTCCCCTTCCTGCCGACGTTGCCCATGAATTCCAACTCCTCCACGGCTTTCAAAGTGTTCATTTTTAAGTGGGAAGGGGGAAGGAGAAGAAAAAGACGGGCCCAACCCTCTCAGGCGTGTGTGGGAGGGCTGGGATTGATTGAAACACCTCCTGCCAAGAGGCTGGAAAGTCCCAGCTCTCCCTCCCTGCATTTCTCCCTTCTCCTGCAGGCACCCAAAAACCCAAGGGCACATCTGTCCGGGGGGACAGAGAGCCTGGAATCCCTGGAGCAGCAGCTCCACGCAGCCTGCAACCTCTGTTTTAAGGGATCAAACCTCCCTCCCACCACCTCTGCCATAGGTGCCTCTAAACACACCCGGGTGTAAAATACGTGCCCGGGTGTGTGTCAGCACACCAGGGCTGCTCCCTGGCACGGGTTGAGCCCTGCCTGGGGTTGCTGTCACCGCGGTTGGCAGCTCTGCTGCCTCCTGTGCCAATGATCCCCTCCCCTGAGGCGATTCCTGCCCCTCCCTGCCCACTCTGCCTCTTCCCCTGCACGAGTGAGGGAAGCCCAGAGTCGTTTATCACCTCTGACACATCAGCATCCCGGCAGCAGCTCAGCCCTCGGTTCTTACTCCTCCTAATCCCCCCAAAATGGATTTAGGGATTAGAGCGGGATCCTCTGTCTCTCCAGGACTTTCCTTTGACACTTAGTCAGTCTGGGGCCTCGGGGCACAGAGAAAAGGGAGCAGCTGAAGCTGAGGGATGGGCACAAGGTGGTTCTGCCCTGTTTTTGGGATGCAGAGGGGCTGGCACTGCAGCAGGGGTAAGGCAGGACACATCCAAGAGTGGGAAACACGCAGGAGTGACTGCCTGGAGCTGGAGGATGAGGACGCCCTGGCAACACCCCCTCCACCACCCAACCCTGTGCCACTGCCAGGGGACACTGTGAACCCCCAAGATTCCTGTTTGGGTGATGGGAGCTGGGCCTGGGGTAGCTCTGGAGAAGAGCTGGATCACACAGTGCCAACACTGGGAGCTCTGAGCTGTTCCAAAGGAGCAGAAATGTCTCCTCTCTGCTCATCCTGTGCATACAGCATTTAACTCATTTGGATTCCGTGCTTTCCCCCTTTCTCCCCCTGATTACCTGGATGGAGGGTGGATCTCCATTAGAGCCCTGGCTCTGGGAGCCAAGAGCCACAAAGGCCACCAGGAGCTGGGGGTTTATTTTCTATATCTTTTATCCCCCCAGCAGAGAGAGCCAGCACAGAGCCCCACATCCCTCTGACCCCTCCTCACAGCACTCAGCACACACACGAGGCCTCTCGTCCTCTGAAGTGTAATTAAGTGTAATTAAACCTCACAGCTTCCCTTTTCAGGCAGGTTAAGAGGGGCACTGAAAACTGGAGAATCAGGGGGCACAGGCTGGTGCAGGAGAGGGTTGTGACTGCGGCTGGTTGGCAGGAGATGGGATCCATCATGTGCAAAAAGCAGGAGCCCCAAGGGTGCTCATTGAAATTATGCCTCTTAGGCACCTAAAAATCACTACAAACCCCTTTTCCCCCTCTTGTCATTTTAGAGACTCCTGTAGAGAGCCCTCCTACTGTAACCTGCAGCTCCTGGCAAGCCCCCTGGGCACTGGGCAGGATGCCCCTGGCACTGGGCAGGATGCCCCTGGCCATTCAGGAATTGTGGCCTGGGGGACTCAGGCAACTCGTGGGAGGCTCCTGGAGCCATCCCCGGGCTTGGGGAAAAGCCTTGCTCTTCCCTGGGTGCCACCCTCCTTCCCACAGGGCTGGGAGTGGGGGGGATCAGCCTCAGCAAACATCCCTCTCCCTTCACACTCCCGAGGGGCAGCTGCTCCATTGGCACCCACTCCGGGCACACGGGGGGAGATGTGCACAGAGGTGCCCTTGGCACAAACCCTGTCAGCGCTGGGATGTGCCCAGCTGTGCCTGCCAGGTGTGCTTAGGGCAGAATTGTGGAATATCCTCAGCTGGAAGGGACCCACAAGGATCAGAGTCCAGTTCTGCACAAACACCCCAACAATCCCACCATGTGCTGAGAGCGTTGTCCAAACTCTCCTTGAGCTCTGGCGGGTTTGGGGGGGCTGTGACCAAACCCTGGGGAGCTTGTTCAGTGCCCAACCACCCTCTGGGGGAAGAACCTTTCCCTGAGATCCAGCCTGACCCTGCCCTGGCTCAGCTCCAGCCATTCCAGGGTCCTGTCCCTGCTCACAGGGAACCGAGATTGGAGCTGCCCCTGCTGAGCTCTGCCCTGGGCGTCCCCTCTCTCCCAAACCCCACCTTGTAGCATCACCCCCCGCTCCCTTGGCTGCTCCTGACCCCGCTGTCCGTGTGTCCCCAGACCCGGTGCCGGCTTTGCTATGAGCTCAGGCGGGCCCTGCCCCCTGGGACCAGCATGGGCAGCGTGAGCAGCCTGATCTCCGGGCACAGCCTGCACAGCAAGCACTGCCGCGCCTCCCACTACCGCCTCCGAAAGTCCTCCCACCTCAAGAAGCTCAACCGCTACTCGGACGGGCTGCTCCGCTTCGGCTTCTCCCAGGACTCCGGCCACAAGTCCGGCTCCAAGAGCAGCAAGAATGAGGACTTCTTCTACATCAAGGTCAGCCAGAAGTCCCACGGCTCCCACCGGGACTACACCTCCCTGGCCGGAGGGGAGCTGGGCCAGGCCGGCGGCAGCGGCATCAACTTCGGGACGCCCACGCCGCAGAAGCTGCTGCCCTTCCCCAGCCAGCTGGAAGTGGTTAGTGGGGGGGAAACGGCGGCCCTGGGAGCGGGGGGTGCCCCATTGCACCCCATCCATCCTCAGAGGGGGTGCAGGTCCCAGGGCAGGGCTGTCCTGGTTGTGGTCTGTGAGATTGGAGAAGGTGGTTTGCGGTGGGAAGCGGGAGGAGAGGGGCAGCAGGGAGGTGCTGGGGGTACTGTGCCACCCTCTGCTTTCGGGGACTGGGCTCAGCTACACGATCCAAAATCGTGCCATGTGATCCAAGGCACACAGACCCTTTAATTCCCAAACACACCCTGAGGCACTTTCACCCATCGGCGTCTTCCCGAGGGAGAGCGGAGCTGTCCCACCAGGGGGGTCTCATCCCTGGGGGCAGAGGGGGTGAGGGGGGGGACAGATGGCATTGTTTGGGTCTGTGCTGATGGTTTGGGTCTGTGCTGACGGTTTGGGTCTGTGCTGACGGGCTCTGCTCTCCCCCAGGGTGTGGACAAGCCTCCTGCCCGTCCCACCGCCTTCAAGCCGGTGCTGCCGCGCTCGGGGGCCATCCTGCACTCCTCCTCCCCCCCCGAGAGCGGGGGGCACCTCCCCCCGCCCCTGCACCCCCCGGAGAAAGCCAAGGAGCAGGAGCTGAAGCCCGTGCTGTGCTCGGGGGGTCTGTCTGACTCGGGCAGGAACTCCATGTCCAGCCTCCCCACCCACAGCACCAGCAGCAGTTACCAGCTCGACCCCCTCGTCACCCCCATGGGCCCCATGAGCCGCTTCGGGGGCTCTGCCCACAACATCCTGCAGTGTGCCATCATCCAGGACAGCAACATGATGAGCCTCAAGGCCATGTCCTTCTCCGACGGGGGCAACAAGATCCTGAACCCCGGCAAAGCCCCTCACCACCACCACGGAGCCGCGGAGAAAAGCGCCTGCGTCCGCTCGCCCATCTCCACCGACGAGTCCACCATCCAGGAGCTGGAGCAGAAGCTGCTGGAGAGGGAGGGGGAGCTGCAGGAGCTTCAGTCGAGCTTCGAGGAGAAGGAAATCAGCTCCTGCCAGGCCTACGAGGAGAAGCAGCGGCGCTGCAAGGAGGAGCTGGAGGGCCTCAAGCAGAAGTGCAACAGCAAACTCAAGCAAACCTCGCAGAAGACGCAGCGCACGCAGCAGGTCCTGCACCTCCAGGTGTTCCAGCTGCAGCAGGAGAAGCAGCAGCTCCGGGAGGAGCTGGAGAAACTCATGAAGGAGCAAAACCTGCTGGAGACCAAGCTGAGGTCCTACGAGAAGGAGAAGACCAGCTTCGCCCCGGCGCTGGAGGAGACCCAGTGGGAGGTGAGTGGCACCAGGGGCACCAAACCCGGGGCTGGGGGTGCCCAGAGCAAAGTGTGACTGAGGAATGGGGCAGCTTCAGCAGCAGCAGTAAATAGAGCCCTTCTCCACCTCTATTCCTGCCTCCCAGCAGCACCACGGGGGGTGCAGGGCTGTGGGATGTGGATGTTAAATCCAAGGAGTTCTGTGAGCTGTAATTGAGGCTCTCGCCGCCCCTCTTAACCCCTCAGCCCTTCCCATCATCCATGGGAACAGCCAGTGCATAAAAACACTCAGTCATTAAAACAACCTGGCATTTCCAGCCTCCAGCACAGGGTTTTCCAGCTGCCTGCCCCCAGAGGAGCAGTAAAGCTGCCTTCCCACGTGGAAATAGGAACTACTTGGACTCGCCTCGGGCATTTGTTAGAGAGCAGTAAAACCTTCCACTCTCTGCTTAAGCTTAATTTACTCACTCGTTGGGTATTGCTGAACAAAGAGCGTTAAACTGATGAAAATCCCAACGTTTATTAATAATCATTTTAAATATTAATTATAACTAATAATCATAATTAAATTCATTCTAAATCAAGATAAATAACTGCAGTTTGGGGTTTCCGCATGCTGAGCTCCAGCTAACTCAGGCTCTCCATCCCTGCCCACAGGTGTGCCAGAAATCCGGGGAGATCTCCCTGCTGAAGCAGCAGCTGAAGGAGTCCCAGACGGAGCTCAACACCAAGACCACCGAGATCCTCGGCCTGAAGGCGCAGCTGAAGGAGGTGAGGGCGAAGATGGAAGGGCTGGAGATGAAGACCCAGGAGCTGGAGGTGTCCCTGCGCACCAAGGCCATGGAGCTGGAGGTGTGCGAGAACGAGCTGCAGCGCAAGAAGAACGAGTCGGAGCTGCTGCGGGAGAAGGTGAACCTGCTGGAGCAGGAGATCCTGGACCTGCGCACGGAGCTCGCCGTCCTCAGGGAGCAGCTGAGCGAGGCCCGGGAGGGCTCCAGGCCCTGTGCCGGGCTGGAGGAGGCCCAAGCCCTGCAGGGAGAGGTGGAGAGGCTGCGGGCGGAGCTGGAGGCCGAGCGGGACAACAACGAGCAGATGACCTCCGGCTTCCAGCACGAGCGGCAGACGTGGAAGGAGGAGAAGGAGAAGGTGATCCACTACCAGAAGCAGCTGCAGCAGAGCTACCTGCACATGTACAAGAGGAACCAGAACCTGGAGAAGATGCTGCAGCAGCTGGCGGCGGGGGAGGACGGCAAGGAGCCCATCGAGCTGGAGATCCCCGGCGCCGACGTGCCCTACGAGGACATCATCGCCACCGAGATCTGAGCCTGCCCTGCCCTGCCCTCCCTGCAGCTCGGGGCAGGTGTCCCTCCCTTGGGGGGACACGCTGCCCGTGCCTTGTACAGTCCAGCTGAGCCATGTATTTACCTGGGGGGCTCCCGGCCCCGCTCCCTGCCCGCCCCGGTGCTCCCCGTTGCCTGTCGTGTTACAGAGGTGAACAAGCAACTCGTGCCAGTGGTGACATGCCAGCAGCTCCCCCCGCCCCGGCAGTGCCCCTTCTGCCCCTGGGAGGACTGAGGAGCCGGCGATGGGGTGGTCAGGGAACAGGAACTCAGCAGATTTAACTCCCGTCCATGCACAGCGCCCGAGGGGTGCTCTGCTCCAGGCTCGGAGGGATCAGGGCGCAGCTCCGGGGATTGGGGACACCAAAACTCCGGGGATCGGGGACACCACGGTCCTCCCCACCGCCTTTGAAGGGAATCAGCCACAGCACACGCCCAGCTCCCTGCAGGAAGCACCGACGCTGCTCTCACACCTCCTCACCCTTCTCCGTCAGTGCCAACCCCAGGGTGCTGTGGGACCACGGAGCCACCTCCTGCCACTGGCACAGCCACTGCTCCCACCCCCGGGCCGCTGCAGTGCCTCAGGAAGGACCCCCACCTGCACCCCATCACTGGGTTACAGCCAACACCCCCCGAAATCCCCTTTCACTGAAGGGCACAGCCCACCCTGCAGCCCCACTGCACATCCCTGGGTGAGCCGTGGCCAGCCCAGCACTCCCTGCTCTGATGGATGAGGACTCGGCGTCCCCCTTTCCCAGCTGCCAGGCAGCAGCTGGATTTCAGAGCCAGGAGAAGTGTCCCAGCCACAGTCTGACCAAGGAATCGGGGTTGTGTTCACCCCACAGCCCCCCACACTCGCTGCGACCGTCCCCTCCGGGACCCCCCGGCTGCCTTATCTCCTGCTGTGTCCTTACACCCACGGGATCCCACCAAGAGGAGCTGGTTAAAAGAAACCCCCCAAAAAACACCCCCACTTTCACTTTATTTTCCACCCCAGCTCTTAAAAATTTCCTCCTGCCACCAGCAAGTGGATAATGAGGCTCCACTGAAGGTCACCAGAGGTGACTCCCGTGTCCCCTGTGGCTCAGCACGGCCAGGAGGGAGGGAACCAGCCTGGATCCAGATTCCCAGGGTGGAGATCTCCAGCCAGGCCTCGTCTGTGCCAGTGCAATGATGTTTTTTTTTACTGCAGGGTGTCTGTTCACCCACTGCCCCAGCCCAGGGGGGTTTTGGGGCAGGTCTTGCACAACCCCCTGAAGCCACAGATCGGGCCCAGGGCTCGAAGCTGTGCGGGAGCAGCAGAACCCAGCGCCCCTCACACCATCCCAGCCTGGAAAAGCGACACACAGAAACCAGTCTGTGCCTTCTGCACCTGGCCCCGAGCACCCCCAAGTGCATTGCCCCAGTTTATCCCGGCTGGGCGTCCACCCCCGACCCTCATCCACGGCCCCGCCGGAGAAAAGCCACCCTCAGATCCCCGTGGCTGGAAATCGGGGCCACGCCGGGTCCAGCCTTCCCCCAGCCCTGCCCGGGGATGCTCTGGAGCTGGGATGGCTCCAGCTTCGAGGCCAGAAGGGATTCAGTGCATCCCCCAAGCCATGGCCCCGAGTACCGGGGGCTCTGCACCCCCCTCTCCCACCCCAGAGCCAAACCCAGGGGAGCAGAGCCCTTCCCTGCCTTCCCCACGCCCTGCTCCTGCTCCCGCTGGCCTTGGTGGCACCGTCCCTGTCCCCCAGCCCCATGTCCCCCTCTCCCAGCCCCATGTCCCACTCTCCCAGCCCCATATCCCCCTCTCCCAGCCCCGTGTCCCCCTTCCCAGCCCCATGTCCCCTCTCCCAGCCCCCTGTCCCCCTTCCCAGCCCCGTGTCCCCCCTATCCCAGCTCCATGTCCCCCTTCCCAGCCCTGTATCCCCCCTCTCCCAGCCCCATATCCCCCCTCTCCCATCCCCATGTCCCCCTTCCCAGCCCTGTTTCCTCCCTCTCCCAGCCCCGTGTCCCCTCTCCCAGCCCCGTGTCCCCTCTCCCAGCCCCATGTCCCCCTTCCCAGCCCTGTGTTCCCCTCTCCCAGCCCCATGTCCCCTCTCCCAGCTCCATACCCCCTCTCCCAGCCCCTGCTCTATGATGTGATGGCCCAGAGGCCTCGACGTGCTGCCTTTGCACAACGCTGTGTGTGCCCCGTCCGCATTCCAGGTGTGTCATTCCAGGTGGGAGCCAACCCGGGGGGGGGGGCTCCTGCCCGGCCTCAGCCTGTACAGAGAATTATTTTTCTGCAGGTTTTTTCTTTTGTTTTGTTTTGTTTTTTTGTTCAGTTTTTTTTTTGATGTTATTTCTGGTGACTGATGTAAACTACTGGTAATTTTATGTTTTTATTTATAAATAAAAATTTTGTAAAACTTCTTTTTGGCCTCCTCCCCGCCCCCCCCACTTTTTCCCTGAGTGCTTGGCAGCGTTCCAGGGGTTTTCCATACCAAAAAAAGCAGGATGGTGCTTTGTTGTGCCCCCCCCCAAGCCACAAACCATCTATCACAGCCCCCCAAGGTCCCCTTTGGGGACGTCCCTCCACCTGGCCCTGTTGTCCCCAGGCCCTGTTATCTCTGCTCTGCAGCTGGGATAACCCAAGCATGGAAAAGCAAAGCGTGTCTCTGGCAGACACGGAGGGATTGGAGAGGGGGGATAATCCCCCCCCCCCGGCCTTGCCCCCACCCTGCACCCTCCAGCTTCGCCCTCCTGCTCTGCAGGTCGGGCTGATTTTCACCCTGACCCCCCCTCCTCCCCCAGTCCCAGGGGTGCCCAACCCACCCCCCACGTCCTGAGGAGATCCAGAGAAAACAATTCCCAAAGGAAGAGGTGAAGTGTAACGGCCTGAACAAACCCCAAGGTCATATTTTGACTCTGGGACCTGTTTTCTTTCCTCCAAACCAACCCGGAGCCTCTTTGCACCACACGGATCTAAACAGTGTTGGGGGGGGGGTAAAGGGGGAGGCTGAGGAGCAAAAAACGGGGAAAACACTAAAATTGAGCCACCCACGAGCTGCTCTGTGCCCCCCAAAAGGGCACCTGGCACCCACTGAGCTTTCCAGGGAAACCTTGGCTGTGCTCCCACCGCCCCGGGCGGGAGAGAAGGTTATTTTTAGAGCCTTTGAAAAGCTGCTGAGGAGGAAGGAGACAGAAAACCACGTGGAAAGGCTCTGCCTGCTGAGAGGCACCTTGTGTGGAAGATCATCCCCGGCCATCCCCTGCCCTGGCTGGGGGTGCTCCCGGCCCGGCTGAGCCCTTCCAGGACTGGTCCATGTAATCCAGGTCAAGGCAGCAGGGAGGAGGAGACCCCCGAGCCGCCAGTTATCCCTGGAATAACTCCCAGGAGACATCCCTGCCCCGCAGAGCTCACAAACTGCAGGTGCTGCAGCAGAGCAGAGACTCGGCAGAGCTGAGCAGCGTCAGAAGGAGCAAGGGCAGCTCCAGGAGCAAGGGCAGCGTCCCTGAGGGCACAAACCCCCAAGGAATTCTTAGGAATGCTCAGGGAAGCCAGCCTGGGGACCCTGGGCTGCTTCTCCCCTTTCCAACCAAACCCCTCCTGAAGCTGCTGCTGAGGACGAGCTGTGCCCTCCCCAAGGTCGGGCTGGGAGCATCCTCAGCCCCAGGCACCAGCGGGTCCTTCGGGGCTGTTGGTCCGTGTCAGGATGCTGGGAGAGCACAAGGAAGGCTGGGAGAGCACAAGGAAGGCTGGGAGGGCACAAGGAAGGCTGGGAAGTGGAGCACAGACGTGCTGGTCCCCGCTGCGACCGCGCTGCTTCGCTGCCAGGAGGAGACACGGCCAAGGAAGGAGCAGCAAGCCCCGATAATCCCGGGGCAAAGCCGTGCCCTCGGGACACCCAGGTGGATGGCATCGGACCGTGCCGGGGCTCCAGGGCTGAGGAGGCACCTGAGGGGCACGGTTGGCTAAAGTTTTAGGGGCGAACAGGAGAACCAGCCCAGCTCGGGCATCTCCCCCCCGTCAGCGGGGTCCCCGCGCTCTGGGTGAGCTCAGCTCCAGCTGCCCGAGCGCCAACCGCCCTCGCACAGAAGGAGTGTGAATTGTTGGACTTAATCAGCGGATGCAAATCAGCCTCAAGACGGAGAAAAGCTGATTTGCATCTTCTTTAAACGCCCCGGTGCCACCGCACCAGTGTCTGGGGAGGGGGGAGGCAGAGTCAGACCTAAAATCTCCGCAGCGCCAAGCCCGGGGTTGGCTTTGAAAGAGCAATTAAACCCCGGCACCTCGCGCTCGGGGGCGAAGCTGCTTTTGATGTGCAAATGACCCGCGGCAGCTCTGCCCACCAGCCTGTTCCCCGGCCCCGCATCTGCCACCCCGACCGACCCCCGGGGGCACGGGGGGGACCTGCCCCGGGGTTCGCCCCCTCCCTCCGCTCCTCCACGGGCTGACAGCTGGCGTGTGCTCCTGCGGGGACCGCCTGACACCCGCTGGAGAGGGGGGATAAGACCCCCCCCGGGCAGCCCCTCATTAGTCATTATGGAATAAATAAAATAATAAAAAAAAGGAATAAAAATAGCAAACAGCGCGTAAATGCAGCGAGGCAGCAGCTGGGAGAGCAGCACGTCCCCGTCCCCCCCCCTCTCCCCGAGCCTGGTACCTGCTGGCTCCTGCCGGGAAGGGTCGGGCTGTTCCTTTGGCACCCGGCTCAGAGCCGTGTCTGGAGCTCTCAGGGCGCTGCCAGGGCTGGTGCCACGCAGAGGGGGCACCCCCTGACCTGCCCCCAGAGCCCTGTGGTCCCCCCCGAGGGGTCCTGCTCCCACCTCGGGGCTAAAATCGCTGTGCTCGAGCCCCCAGACCTGGGGGGAGACAGGTGCTTTTGTCGTTCCCATGCCAGGCTCGGGCTGTTCCCTGCCTGGGACAGGGGCTGGTCCTCACCTGGGAAGCTGCTGAGAGCGCGGGGTGATGTCCAGGGAAGGGGCTGGAGCAGCAGGAGCAGCTGAGGGAGCTGGGGGGGCTCAGCCTGGAGAAAAGGAGGCTCAGGGGGGACCTTCTGGCTCTGCAACCCCCTGACAGGAGGGGGGAGCTGCCAGGGAACAAGGGACAGGAGGAGAGGGAACGGCCTCAAGCTGTGCCAGGGGAGGGTCAGGTTGGACATCAGGAGGAATTTCTCCCTGGAAAGGGTTGGTTAAACATTGGAACTGCCCGGGGAGGTTTGGAGTGCCCACCCCTGGAGGTGCCCAGGGAAGGCCTGGCTGTGGCACTCAGAGCTCTGGGCTGGGGGACGAGGTGGGGATGGGGCACAGGGGGGACTCTGTGGCCTCAGAGGGCTTTTCCCCCCTGGATGACTCTGTGGTGCTGTTTTCTCCAGCCAGGAGGTTCCTGCTGTCTTTGAGTCTCCAGAGCTGAAGAGCTGCAATGTCTCATTCCTTCCCCTTTGCTCCCACCAGATGCAGAGCAGTGCAGTTTAACTGCCGTGGATATTCTTATCCTTGCAGAATTCCCTTTGCTCTGTGACACACACACACATTCCAGGAGCCCTGTTATCCATGCAGGCATCCCAGGAGAGGCACCTTCCTGCTCACACACCCTTGGGAATGTTTGTTCAACCTTTGTCCCCAAGCTCTGTCACCTGCTGAGGGACCTCAGGAATTCACTGGACTGTGGAATTTCTCCCCTGGCTCAGTTTTCAGAGCCTGTGTCCCTGAGCCCCAGCTCCTGGTTATTCCTATCCCTGAGCACAGGCTCTCCCTGGAGACAGAGACTGTCACTGAAGGGGAAAATAGGTAGAAAAGCCAAAAACACTTGTCCCAGCCAGTCCCTGCTCTAGTGGAAGGTGTCCCTGCCCATGGCAGGAGATGATCTTTAAGGTTTCTTCCCACCCAAACCATTCTGGGAATTCAGAGGTGCTGGCACTGGAATTTAAGCAGCCTGGCTGCAGGAACACCTGAACAACCCCCCCAGTGCTGACCACACCCAAACCCCAAAGCAAATTTAACGCCCAGAACTCATTGTCCAGGAGTTTAATGTTTCCAAGCCTCCTCAAGCACAAACTACCCCTGGAGAGGGATGTGGGAACAGGGGGATCACATTCCCTGCACATTCCTGCAAAGCCTTTCCCCGTGACTGCACCACCCCCCAACTCCACACAGCACTGGGGGCTGAGGCTGAAGGTCAGATCCTCCTCCTCAGCAGGGAATCCTCAGCTCAGGGAATAACGAGGGGGTGGCTCAGGGCCCTCCCTGCCCACTGAAGTGGTTCCATTCCCATTCCCAGGGGACATCCCAGCCCCTGCTGAACCACCAGAGAACCACAGGAGCCTTCCATTTTCTTCAACACCTTCCATATTTAATTTATTTAGATATTCTCTACATTAAAGTATTTTCATGCCAACACTTCCAACCTCCCACCCCGACCTCGAGAAAAGAAAAAAAAGAAAAAAAAGAGAGACTTGACACAGCTTTGGGTGGAATGCACCGGAATAGAGTCGCTGCTGCAGCCACAGAGAACACAGAACTGGGGAGAGCTGCACATGGAGACGTCAGGGAGCTGGAATTAGCACACTCTGGCAGCCCAGGCGTGTTCACACCTCCCCAGACGGGCACCGAAGGCGTTCAGAGAGGTGCAACATGCCTCGGTGAGCCAGACCAGAGCTCAGACTCATGTGAAGCCTGGGAAAAAAGCATGGAAGTCTGCCAGCAGCAGGGCCTGGAGCCTCGTCTGAACCTGCTGGAAAAAGAACAGCACGGAATTGCCTGGCCAAGATTGCAGGGTTTGGGAATGCTGAGCTCAGGGCCAGGCAAATCCGGGCCTGGAGTGCAAACCACAACAGCTTCAGACACAGCACGGGCCCAGCACACCCAGAGCAGCATTCAAAATATCCTTTCTGACACTAAAAGCTGTTTGGTTTGGGTTTTTTTCCCCTCCTGTTGCATCATTTAGTGCAGGACATTCTGTAAAAGCTGAGCTCCCACCTGTGTCAGGTTTAAGGTGGGTTTTCTCACCCCTCAGAATCCCCTTCAGCAGCAGCACAAAGCCTTGAATTACCAGCAGTTGATTCTGAGCTCAGAATCACTTGAGCTGCTGGTTTGTGTCCCTGGCACTTCCAGAATTCAAAGAAAAAAGGGTTAAGTAGGAAACTTAGTCTGCAAACTTCAATTTAAGACCTTTAATTCAGTAATTCTGCTACTTCCAGGTAGCAACTCACTGGCCTGTGTCCTCTGAGAGACCCTTTGCTGGTGGAAAAGCCCCCAGCATTTGCCTCCTCGTGTCCTCAGTTCGCACAAACCTTTCAGAACCTTAAGCCACGGCTCAAAACTTGCATTTTCCAGACAGGAATGTTGTCATGCAAGTCACATCTGCTCTTTCATGCTGCCCTAAACCACAGTTTGCAAGCGAATATTTGCAGTTTCTGGTGATCCTCAGACAACTCCCCTGAAATGCCCACAAAAGGTTCAGCTCAGGAAAAAACCCAAACCTCGTGGTGGCTATTGCACATGTGTAAGAGCTGGCCTAAGTGTTCTCCTGGAGAAGGGATATTTTAAAAGCTGGTCTCGGTGGACATGGGAACACTGGCACAAAAGTGTCACCTACTCCTGGCTTTGAATCCTAAAAGGGCGACGAGTAAACACCAACACATGGGGACAGAAACCAAACCAGCACCTCACAGAGCAGGGCAGGGGGAGCAGGGTTAGTGCTTTGCAGTGGAATCCCGGGGGTAGAACTCGGCCAGCGTTGTCTGGGGGATCCTCTTGAGCATCTCCTTGGGGAAGATACGCAGGAGCTGCCAGCCGATGTCCAGGGTCTCGTACACCGTGCGGTTCTCGTAGGGACCTGCAGGAACAGCCACATGGGCAATGAGGGGGCAGGGAAAGGAGCCCTTGAGGTGCTGATGCCCCACTGGGACGTGCTGGGACACTCACTCACCCTGAGCAATGAAGTTCTTCTCGAACTTCTGCAGGAACTCCAGGTAGAGCAGGTCGTCGGAGGTGAGAGCTTCCTCCCCGACCACGGCCTTCATGGCCTGCACGTCCTTCCCGATGGCGTAGCAGGCGTACTGGGGGGACAGGAAGGGATCCAAAGGGTCTGAACATCACCAGTCCCACCCCTGCCATGGGCAGGGACACCTTCCACTAGCCCAGCCTGCTCCAACCTGGCCTCGGACACTTCCAGGGATGGGGCAGCCACAGCTTCTCTGGGGATTCCAGCCCAGCCCCTCCCCAACCTCATAGGGAGGAATTCCTTCCCAATATCCCATCTAACCCTGCCCTCTGGCAGTGTGAAGCCATTCCCCCTTGTCCTGTCCCTCCATCCCTTGTCCCCAGTCCCTCTCCAGCTCTCCTGGAGTCCCTTCAGGCACTGGAATCCTTGGAGCCTTCACTTCTCCAAGTGAACACCCCCAGCTCTCCCAGCAGAGCTTCCATCCCTCTCATCATCTTCATGGCCCATCATCCACATAACTTCTGTTCCAACTCCAAGGGTCTCCCTAAACACCCAGTCAGTGCCTCAAAGCAGCCTCAGGGATGTTCTGGATCACAACTGCTTGGTATGTTCTTTACAGGTGGATTTGGAACCTGGCTCTGCTCTCCCAGGGAGGTTTTTACCCACCAGCTGGTTGGACACATCTGCATGATCCTTCCTGGTCATTCCCTCCCCGATAGCTGACTTCATCAGTCGAGACAAGGAGGGCAGGACGTTGATGGGTGGGTAAATCTGGGGGAGAAACATCCAGGAATTAACAGGAATACTTAAAAAAAACCCCACAGAATAATCTTAAATACCCCCTAAGTGTTGCAGCACACACCTGTCTGTTATGCAGCTGCCTGTCCACGTAGATCTGTCCCTCAGTGATGTACCCAGTCAGGTCAGGGATAGGATGAGTAATATCTGTGGGGGGGAAAAAAAAAAAATGGTTTGACAGTTTTCAGCCCTTTTATATCCATTTTAGCACTGATGCAGCAGCTTTTTGCCGTTAGGTGACTTCTAAAGCACAAAGCCATCAATGATTCCCTCCATTTATCCCTAAGTGCTCTTGGATCGGGGCAAAGCATTTATCAGCACCACAGAGAAAGCAGCCAAAAGCTGCAGTGTTCCAGAGGAAAGCTGAAGGCCCAGGGCAGCTCACTCACCGTCACTGGGCATGGTGAGGATGGGGATCTGCTCATTTAATTTTGAATTTGAATTTTGAAACAATGGGAATTGTTTCACTGCCCATTGAAAAATAACCCTCATGTGGTGAGATCCCAAGTTTCCACCCTCATTAGTTAAATGCCACTGCATTTTTAACCAATCCCTCATCTGGCAGAGGGAGGAGAAGCAGATGTCTTTGTGGATCCTGTCACTGCAGGAGAGGTGGTGGCGGGAAAGCAAGTTCATGGAATTGACTGGCTTTTAAAAAACCGAATACAAACTGTCTTTCTTTAATAGAAATATGTACCTGACCCACCAGACCCAGCCAGTGTGCTGGCTGAAGGAGCCCTGCCCAGGGCAGCTCACTCACCGTCGTTGGGCATGGTGAGGATGGGGATCTGGGTGATGGAGCCGTTCCTGCCCTCCACGCGCCCGGCACGCTCGTAGATGGTGGCCAGGTCTGTGTACATGTACCCTGGGAAGCCCCGGCGCCCAGGAACCTCCTCCCGGGCTGCTGACACCTGGGGAACGCCACAGAAACATTCCCAGGAAGTCAGGTCACCCCCTCTGGAGCTGCTGTCTGCCCAGATTTAGCTGCACTAGTCACTTGAGGTACCCCATCCTGTGAAATGCAGCCACACAAACCCCTCCGAGTCCCCACAAACAAACCTCTCTGAGTCCCCACGACCCTTTTGATAAGATAAGATGCCAAGGCAAAACCAAAATGATGGTATCAGACTGCTAATTCATGGAATCATGGAATGGTTTGGGTTGGAAGGGACCTTAAAAGATCACCCAGTTCCACCCCCTGCCACGGGCAGGGACACCTTCCACGGGCAGCTACACCTTCCACTGGACCAGGCTGCTCAGAGTTCCATCCAGCCTGGCCTTGGACACTTCCAGGGATGGAATTGCCACCAGTCCATGAAATTTAGCTCTGACATCCCACTGAACACAAGCACTCACCGAAAACCTCCCTGGCTATGAATGTTAACTGCAACAGCCCCAGTAGAAGTTTGGATTCTCACTTTCCACCACAAACCCCGGCTGCCAACGCCATGCTCGTTAATGAACAGGGTAATTAACACCCTAATGGCCACGTACCTCCCGCAGGGCCTCAGCATAGGAGCTCATGTCTGTCAGGATGACCAGCACGTGCTTCTCACACTGGTAAGCCAAGAACTCTGCAGTGGTCAGGGCCAGCCGGGGGGTGATGATGCGCTCGATGCTGCGACACAACGCGGCGTGAGCCGGGGTTTAGGGATGGCAAGGGACGGTTTGGGAGCTCCAAACAGCTCAAAAATCTGCTGCTGCACCCACTGGAGCACCAGCATAGCTCCAGCTCCCCACAGGGTTTGGTTTTGCCAGTGTTTTCCCACCCAGCAGGGTTGTAGCTACTCACGTTGGGTCGTTGGCCAAGTTGAGGAACAGGCACACGTTGTCCATGGAGCCGTTCTCCTCGAAGTCTGATTTGAAGAACCGAGCAGTCTCCATGTTCACCTAAACCACAGCAGGGAGGCATCACTTCCACGTTCCAGCTTAGGATATTCTGCATCACATTAAAGTCTGAGATCCTCGTTAATCATCCATAACAAGGCTCTCCACCATGGAGGCTCCTCTACATTCCCAGAGTGAGTAACTTCTAGAATTCCAGGCTGCAGATCAAGTTCAAGATACTTTATCCTGATCAGACACACTCTGTTGGAGTCATGGAATGGTTTGGGTTGGAAGGGACCTCAAAGCCCATCCAGTCCCACCCCCTGCCATGGGCAGGGACACCTTCCATTAGCCCAGGTTGCTCCAACCTGGCCTTGGACACCTCCAGGGATGGGGCAGCCACAGCTCCTCTGGCCAACCTGTGCCAGGGCCAAACAGGGTTCAGCACTCCTGCCCTTTGGGATTTTCAGCCATTCAGCCTCTAGTTGCATACACATAAAACCTTCTTACAGTACTTCAGCTGCTCTCAGAATTCCCAGTTCTCTCTCCCTCCAGCTCCATGGACTCACCCCCATAGCAGCAAACACGATGGCAAAGTTCTCCTCGCTGTAGTCCATCACATCTTTGGATTTCTTCACCAAGCCAGCCTGGCGACAGATCTGAGCTGCAATCTGGGGAGAAAACATTCCAGTCTTTGTACCTGATGCTGCTGCACAGCCCAGAACTTCCATTTTATTGATTTTTAACCCCAGTGAAACACAAGGAAACAGTTCAGAGAGGCTCTGAGTGCTCACCTCGTTGTGGGGCAGCCCAGCAGCTGAGAAGATGGGGATTTTCTGGCCCCTGGCAATACTGTTCATGCCATCTATGGCTGAAATCCCAGTCTGGATCATTTCTTCGGGGTAGATTCGACACTGGGGGTTGATGGGCTGACCTGTTGTGTTTTTTTAAGAGAACATGTTATTCCCTGTACGTGTTTGAAGCTTTATTAAACAACTGCTCAAGAGGTATCAACTCCACTGTGAGGCCAACAAATCACACCTGAGGTTTCCAGAGCCAAGGCTCTGGAATTCTGTGGTCATGTCACTGATAAGAATGATTCACAGAAAACCCTGCCAGTTACCAGTGAATCACCTCTGGAGCCTGTACAATTAAGAGTCTACAAATAATAAAGAACAGTCTCCAAGCACTGCAGAAAATGGCTCTTTTCTGCTACCTTGTGCAACTTGATTTGAGTTTGATGCCACACATAATTAAAAATAAGATTAAGCTCCTCCTAAGTTAGATTCTGTGTTCTAACCCAAATCTACTGTAACATTCAGAAAACAGAAACACCAGATTTGTCTCAACTCCCCATCAGAAATGGATTAAGAGCATAGAACATACCCATAATGTCCAGGAAATCTTCAGCCAAGACAATGGGGCCTCTGTCTATAGGTTTTCCTGATCCATTGAACACTCTGCCTGTAAGAAACAGCAATGAAAATGTAAATTACTGTGACAATAAGTTCCCAGGGGATAGATCTGCCCACCCCTCAAAGCACTGTGCCCTCACCAAGCATGTCCTCCGAGACCGGGGTCCGCAGGATGTCCCCGGTGAACTCACAGGAGGTTTTCTTGGCATCAATCCCTGAAGTGCCTTCAAATACCTGCAAATATGGCAGAAAAAGGTCAATAAAAACACAGGAAAAGGGTGTTGTGCTTCACAAAATAACACCTGAGTGCTGCCTCACAGCAGGAGCCCCTGCTCTGCAAAGGGCTGCACAAAACATCAAAAACCCCCCACTTTTAACAAAATTCATGAATTACATCAACAAAGTTGGAGCCACTTCTTTGATCTCAAATGTTTCCCTTTGCCAACAGGGTAAAGTTCTTCAGATAAGAAGAATATTAACAAGAAACAGCTCTTTAGAGGAAATACAGCAGCCACAGCGGAGTGGCTGATCCTGAACCTAATACTGGAAATTACAGTGGATTCCTTTAATCCAGCAGCAAAGAAATCCATGGGGGATGCAAATAAAAATGTCCCTGTGCTCCAGTTTGCAGTCTCTTCAAGTTATTCATCCCACTGGCACTTGGAATAAGTAGGTGATTTATTTCTTTTTCATTTCTGGTGCTAAAAGAACAAATCTCAGGACAGATTTGATTCTGTTCAGACACACCCTGATTAATAAAATACTAATAAAATATGCAACAAGAGACACTCCTGTTGATACCTGAACCACAGCTTTGGAGCCACTGACTTCCAGGACCTGCCCACTCCTCCTTGTGCCATCAGGAAGGGTCAGGTGGACGATCTCTGCGTACCTGGGGAACTGAGGGGGAGCAAACAGAGGGTGGAAAACATCAAAATCCCACAGTCAAGAAACAAAAGCTGCCAGTTTAAAGCAAGCTTAAGCCTAGAAACTACTCAATTTTTTAAGAATAATTTTATCATCAGAACAAAACTCATTCCAAGCACATTAAATCTCTGGGGCTAAAGCGATTTTTACATGAATATACAGTGTTTGCAGAGTGGCAGAATCAGTTCTGAACACCCAAGTAGCCCTGAAACGGTGACAGAAAGCCCCAGGGCAGCATCTGACAGGAGAAAAACCTGCAGCAGTTGTTTGCCATTTGAAAACAAGCCAGAACCGTTCAGAGTTTCCTTTCACAGAGCACTTATTTGGAAACAGAAAGGTCAGGAGCAAAGCAAACAGGTGGATTTCAGCATTAAAGTTTAAAACAACATTCTGGGGGTTTTGGTTAAAACTGAGACACTGTTTCCTTTCTTTCCCCAGCAGCCTCAAGAGCTCTGCCTTTCCTCCAGGGCACGGACACCCCTCCCCAGTTCTCAGCAGCCAGAAAGGGATTAAAATTGCTCTGTGGACACAAGAATTTCCCACCAGTCTGCATTTAACCTGCCCCAGCTTTGCTTGGAAATTGTCCCTTAAAAAAAGCTTGGTTAAGATCCGAGTTTTTACCTTGACTTGATCCAGGATAACCAGGGGCCCGTTCACACCCGAGACAGTTTTATAGGCTGGAAAAATAAAGCCACAAGTCAGGTGGTGCTTCCTTAGAAACATCCTAGATCAAGTTTTCCCAGTTCCATGTTTATCACCAGGCTCAGGTTTGCAGTTGTGGGGCTCCATTTCTGTGTTTATAATGAACTCTTCCAGAAGGATTAGATACAGAATTGTGTGTCCAGCATTTCCTGCTGCTTCCTGCAAATCCCCCCCGAGGTGACCTTAAAATTCTGCTTGGTTTTTGTCTGTCATAAAAATTCACTACAAATCTACATCCAGGGATAAAATTAGGCTGGAGCAACCTGGGATAGTGGAAGGTGTCCTTGGCCATGGCAGGGGTGGGATTGGATGGGCTTTGAGGTCCCTTCCAGCCCAAAGCATTCCACGATTTTTTTAATTCAGCTGAGGATATTCCATGATTTTGCAGAGCCCGGGGGGAAAGCTATGAAAAGGCAGCAAGCCCTGCTCCAAGGATGCACCCCCAAGGATCCAGGGATGGGCACACGGCAGGACCCAGGGACGGGCACACGGCAGGACCCAGGGACATACAGCCCCCAGGATCCAGGGACATACAGCCCCCAGGATCCAGGGACATACAGCCCCCAGGATCCAGGGACATACAGCCCCCAGGATCCAGGGACATACAGCCCCCAGGATCCAGCTGGAGCCCAGCACCACTTGACCCACAGATACAAGAACTATTGAGTCAGAGCCCTCTGAGGGTCACGAGGTGCAGTGACCACAAGTGTGACAGTTCCCCACTGCTCCTGGGAGAGGGAAATGAGCCACTGGAGCCACCAGATCACACATTCCACCAGCTCCAGGGAAGCATCCAGGGCCCTTCCAGCCTGGCACCTCCCCAGGCCGTGTGTGCACCATCAACAAGGTGCTGTTTACACTGCAATAAACACCCTGAATGTTGCAATGTGATATCTTAACAGGCAACAATCGAACTGAGGGGAGCTCAGGGCAGGAGCTGGGCCAGGGACTGAACTCCAGTTCCTCAGTTTTACTCCTAAAATCCTCCTGAACACCCCGAGACAAAACACGTGTCCCTTAATGAGAAGCAGCAGCTGAGCTGCTCCTGCCACCTGAGCAGGGAGGGATCACCCAGACACCATCCACGAGGGCTCTGCTCACACTCCCAGCGTTTGCAGCCCACAAGGCATGGAAAACATGACCCTGAGTGGAGCATTTCATCCCATGACTGCCTCGTGAGCTCTCCTTCCTCAATCCGCCCCACAGGGCTCTCAGTCCCTGCTCTGTCCATGGGAAAACACTTCCCTGGTATCCAGCAGGATCACTCAGCACCAATCTCCCAAGAAAGCAGCTCAACACCTGCTCCAAATTCCCCTTTCCATTCTGATCAACCAGTTCCACAATGAACCAAAAGCTACTTGAAATATTTTCCGTACCCTGCTTGATATCAGTTCAGGCCAAAGCCAGAATGGAAAAACCTGGATAGAACATGGAGTCACCTTGGCTCCAACCTTAACAGAAGGCTCCAAAGCCTTGGGGGAGGCTGGAATTGCAAAGATTGGCTTCCCAACCTGGGTGACATTTCCAGGGGATCCATCACCGAGCAGCTCCTGGGCACTCCCCCCGCAGGTCCTGGTGCCATTCAGGGCACCGGTGGAGTCACTGCCAGGAAAAACACCCCTTCTCACAGCCCAGCAGCGAGGGGATTTTTACGAGGTTCCCGCATTTCCCCTTTTTCACCGGATTTCTCAACTCAGCGTTGAAGGAGCAGCCCCCGCCGCACCCGCACCATCCACAGCCACTTCCCGTTCCTGCTGCCAACGCCGGGTTCCCAGGAAGGCCCGGGAGCGGCCCGCGTTCCCCGGGAGCGGCCCGTGTTCCCCGGGAGCCCGCTTTGGGGCAGGAGACGGTGATTAATTAATACCAATTAACAGCCCCAGTGCAGCCGGACCCCGGCCCGCCGCCCTCGGGGAGCGCTGCGGGGAAGGCGCAGGGAACCCCAGACCGCTCTGAAGGGCCCGGGCCCAGCCGGTCCCGCCGAGGGGCGCGGGGCTGCGGCCCGGGCTGTGCGCGGCCGCCGAGCGGGGCCGATCCCCCTCCCCCGCGACCGCCCCGCGTTGTCCCGGTGCCCCCGCACTCACTGAGGCGCGGCTGGGACAGGAAGTCTCGGGTGAGGGCCGCCGCCTGCTCGCGGGGCCCGCCGGGCCCGGCGCCGTTCACGGCCCCGCGCAGCGCCCGCACCGCCGCCATCTTGGACCGCGACCGCAGCGCCGCGACTGCGCAGGCGCGTTATAGCGCGGGACGGACCACGCCCACCGCGGAGGGACACGCCCACCGCGGGGACACGCCCACTTACACAGGCCACGCCCACCGGAGCTGACCCGGGTGCTGGGGGGGGAATTGAATGGGAATGGGGAAAGGAAAAGGGAAGGGAGAGGGAAAGAGGGAAAGGGAAAGGTAAGAGGAAAGACGGAAAGGGAAAGAAGAAGGAATAGGAGAAAGGATAGGAAAAGAAAAAAGAAAAGAAGAAAGAAGGAAAAAAGGAAAAAAGGAAAGGAAAGGAAAGGAAAGGAAAGGAAAGGAAAGGAAAGGA